ACGAGTAGCCAGTTCCGTACCATGTTCGAATGCCACGCCTACCCTGTCTCAGGTAAAAGCAGTATACCTATGCGACCAACACTACAACTACAATTTTCTTCTCGCGCATTCTGGTGATCGCCCTAGAGTGCCGACTCTCCCGAGTTGCAGAGTACGAATACAGCCTTTGACTGTATGACAGCTTCATCTGCAAGCAACAATTCCAAGTATCACTTACTTGTATGGCAATCCGGGACCGCTGTTGCTATATGTGTAGTCAGGATAGCTGGAAAGTGATTCAATCGAAGTGGACGATGCCGAATGGAGCATGTTCGAATCGGACGGATGTTGAGGTTGTTGTGAAATACCGTTGGTATCCTGAACTACTAAGGCCTTGCCTCTAACCATAACTCCATACATTTCACCCCAACAAACAACTCGTAATACAATTGGAACTTGAAAAACCTAAAAACAGCATGAAAATAATCACCATATTACTCGAAGGCGTGACGTCAGCGATACATTCTTGGATGACGTCATGCATGAGGCGATCGGGCATATGGCCAAAAGAGTCGACAATTTCCAAATTGTCACAGACTACTGCACCCAGCATCTGTAATGGAGCTCCTTGTAAGTAGTCACAGCAAAGGCGTATTCCACGATAGCAACATGTGGGAAATGAGTTCAAACATGAGTATGTGAATTCTATGCGATGTGCCCAAAACATGGACCCCCGTTTTGCGGACGATTTTGAGCATTTTTTTTGCTAGGGTACGACTAAGAAACATTCACCACGTGGATGTGAAAAGAGAAGGGATCATTCCTAGAAGGGTAAAAGTCCCACTCTTACTTGAAAATCCAACGTCTTCTCACATTATTGCTAATGCGTACCCGTTTCAGTAAGGCAAATAAAGCCTCCTCTATAGCGAGTCGAACACCCCCCCCCCCCCTACGCCCCCTCCGCTGGGATTTTAATGATCTAGTCACGCCATTCTTTAGCAGCAAGAAAACGAGTACGAAAAGAGAAACAGACTTGAACAGTGATGATTAAACTAACCATGACGCTCGGTATAAACAGCAAAAGATTTCCGAAACGCGATGATGCGACTTCTTTAGGGTGAGTCTCACGAACGACATGATACAGCGTTTCCTGAAGTCTATCCCTCAAATCAGCAATGGCTTCGGACGCTTCCGACGAGAGTCCTTGGATATCTAAGTCGCAGTATATGATCTGTTAACAAGGACCATTCACATACAACATATTTATCAGATAATCACTGATTGAAAGTAGTTCAGTGAGATAATGCAGATGTTCAAAGTCCCTAGCTCCTGGTATCCTGCGTTTTTATACCAGAACCCCATTAGTTTACTTCGGACAAGACCAGGAGCATGGGAAAGTGATATCCTGTGCTCTCTGTTTTGCTGTACTTGAAGGCACAGTACGTACTGATTATGTGGGCGGAGACCGCTAACCATTGTACCTTCCCCATTGGTTCGGTCTCATCTAGTACGCAACAGAGGAGGCGCAATTAGAAAGGTTGATTACACTGTATCCATGCGATAAGCATAGAGCGTGCTTCAGAAGACCAAATTCTTATGTTCAGATGGGCCCGGAAAATCTGAGCGA